TTTGATGGAACAGCGGTCTTCTCTACAATTGGAGAGGCTGTGACTAAGTACTTTAGATTTAGAATTTAGAAATCCCGATGCTGTAGTTAACAAAAAAATATAAAAATAAAAAAAAATTGTTGTTTTGAATTAGATTAGGAATTTACTCCTAGAAGAATGAGAATTAGAATGGTATTCAGGGGAAATAATAATTTTTTGCTTGTTTGTGATTTTTTTTCTCCTAAGTGAGCTAATCTTAGAATGGATCTGTTTATACAAATCATCTGATTATTTGGTTGCCATGATTGTTTGAATGGTGAGAGCAATGACTAAGAATTGATGACCAAGGAGACCTTTCTCTTTTCTGTTTGGAAAAGAGAAGTTTGTGGGCTCTGCCTGCGTTCTAACCCAGCCCCAAACCGCTGAAGAAGTCGATTTGTTGGGGGATATGTTGTCACTGAAAGGTTACACTGTAGATTGCCATGCCACTGTTTACAGGAAGGGACAGATGTCATAATGATGTGGAGAATTAAATATTGAGAGCACAACACAGAACAACATTCTGATTTCATTTGCTTCTGTACAGCTGAACAGAGGCATGTCACAGCAACATCAAATGGCTGTTTTTCTCCATATTCAGATGACTTATTTCTCTTACACTGTACTGTACATTTTTGTAGCAGTGTGCAGGAACCTGGAGTTCAGCAGCCTAAGCTGATGTTCAACTCATGCTGCTCCAGCTTACTCACACAGAGCTGACAGAAGCAACACCTTGTACTGGTCTGTCTGAAGGGTGCCGTTCCTGAGGCTAACTTGCCTGCAGCGGTCTATTTTGTTGCAGCATGTCCCATACCAAACAAGGTAGCCTCACATGAATTGCTTTTAGGGGTTGAAGTGAGGCCCAGGCTAACTCTTGAGACATGCCCAAGGGCTGCTCCGGGGAGCACCAGTTGGCTTAGGCCAATACCATGTCAAGAACCGATCTAAGCCCTTGGTGGTGCAGGCCTTTACGCTCTGGAACCCAGGAACATTCTTAGAACTGCTACATATTTACTATTGGTGAACCTCAAGTGTTACCTGGCACAAAATGTGCCTTGATGGATGCATTTTTTTAAATATTAAAAACAGAGATTTTAAAAACCTCCCAACTGTGTCAAAAAATTTGCTTGCAGTAGAGGTGAACAAATGTAGCAGGAACATCCAAATGTGGTGCTGACCAGACTATGAGGAAAACAAAGCCAGTGAGAGCTCTCCTGGCAGCCCAGAACATGAGCGGCTACTGAGGCTTTTGACACCTGAGTTGGTGATAGGAAAAAAGGAATGTGCCACTTTGAAGTATCTGCGCACTGCCTTTGCAGGAGGGGCTGTGGGGTCTTTGTCAGGAAAAATAAATGACAGGAAAAGTAGAATGGAGAAGGAATGATATTTAATTCAGAAAGGTTTTACAGTGCAAATTATTTTCCCCCACAAGAGGTGAAACATTCAAATGTTCAACTTTTTATGGTGGTTTGAAAAAGGAATTATTTTTTATTGTCTTGAAAATTGTGTTAAACCAGGAAAACGTAGCTCTAAGCAAAATGCTACAACAAACCTTCCAAAAGGTTATCAGCAAACCAAAAGCGATTCTGCAGCCCACCAGAAGTTCTGAAAAAGACTTGGTGATGCAGAAAAAAGGTTGACTTTTTTTGCAGGAGAAATTTGCATGACTGTAGAAGTGATGAAAGATAGCCAAGTAAAGGCTCAAGGAGCTGCGACTGTAGTGAGGGAAGTGGGTGGACAGATCTCTGTACACAACAGTGCTGGGAGATGTGGAATTGCTAAAATAGTCCCTGCCTAATGTAATCACCTTGCAAAGAATGTTTGAGAGGCATTTTGTCAGTCAAGTATAAACAAAGGCTACATTTGAAATTGCAAACTTGTCCAAAGTCATTTTTCCTTCAAAGGTTGTTTCCCCTGCTTGTGCTCATTCTTGTGCTTTGAAAAAGACAACTTCTTAAAGGGCGAGCTATTTTTAATTGTTTAAAAAACAAAGCACAAAACCTTTTACAAAGCCGTAAGTAAAACCAAATGTATCTTCCAATAACTTCACTTTTCTAGGAGCAATAGTGAGTACAATAGAAACTGCATCAAAGCAGCCATTACCCAAGGACTTCTAGGAAATGTCAGCACTACCTCTGAATGAGAGATTTCGTGAGCATATAGAAAGAGCAGTACAAATATGGGGTTTTTTAACCAGGAGAAAGGCTGTATCAGGATAATACGATCAGCTCTTAGAATGGTTTCCCATTCAAAACCATTCCAGATTGTGTTACAAACAAGTGGCACGATCCCTTAGCTGTCCCTGTGCTAGGATGCCCTTGGCTTCCAAGGCAGCGCTGTGTTCAGGCTGCCACAGGATCATGACCTTGACTCAAAGACAAATTGTTCACAGTGCCCGCTTCCACTCACACCGAGCAAGAGCTACAGAAAGGAAAGGGAGCAAACTGCTTGGTAATGTCTTCATTAGCTGTTGTTTAAGGCAGGAAAATAAAAATAACAAATCACGCAATTAAACTCATATTGGGAAATGAATCAGTGAGGATACAAGTGGGCAGCGCTGAGATCAGACTCTGCATAATATTGTATCCACGTTTACCTTAAAGAATATTCTCTGCTAGTTGTTACAAATAACCAGCTCCTCTATCTCGTGTCTGTGCACAGCAGGTAGAGCTGCGTATGTTCCGTCTGGTGGCTGGCTGAGCTGTGAGTTTCTCTCCTGCAGGTGGAGCGTTGATGTAGGCTTTGCTCCGTGATCCTCTACAGTCTGCTAAGCTGGCTTTGTCTTCAGGCGGGTCACACCAGGGAGGACTGGCAGTGCTCTCCTCTCCCCATCTCCCTATGGGAGTTACTGATCGCGCACACCTCGGGTCTCCCAGTTCTCTTCTACACGTGGCTTAACTGGCTGCTGAAAGCTTTTGGAGGGAGAAGGGACTAGATTGCAGCTGTGCATTACTTCATGTGTAGGAAACTGGAACGCAGCAAAATCACTCGTAGGCACTATTTGCAGATATTTGTAGAAATCTCAAAATGAAAAGCGTTAATTCTTGGGCGCTCCCATAGCTTTTCTTGGTTGCAACGTATATCACCGAAAAGGCTCGCCGCGTTCCATTGTATTGCGGCAAGCGGCCCTGGGAAGGCACAGCCCGGACCTCAGCGCGTTGCCTTGCTGGGCAATCCGCCCCTATGCAAAATGGGACGGGGAGCGGGGGCCGGGGGGGGAACTGCGGGGACGCTGCTGCCCCCAAGGGGGAATCGGTGCGCTGCCAGCTCGGGGGTGCACGCTTGGCGGCAGCCTGGGCTCGGGATCGGGGTAACGAGGTCATAAACGAAAGAGAACTGCAGCCTGGCAGTCGCACGGCCACTTTCCATGCCTGGTTTCCCAGCAGCCTACCGCACGTTTTGCTACTTTATTAGCTGTTGTTTCTCATTTCTGGGAAAGGATCGGGAAACTCGTTTTAGCCACAATGGTAAACTGTCGCGGCAGAAATGAGGAAACAGTTAAAAGGGAGGGGCCGCCGCTTTGTGCGGGTTACTTAATTGTCTTCATCAAAAGTACAGGGAAAAAAAATAGACCCTGGGCTTCTGTGCTTTTCGTTCCCGAGCCGAGACTCCCGCGCCAGGCCCGGCCGGTGGCAGCCGCCCCTGCTCGACGCCCATAAAGCAGGGCCTGTAATCAAGGTGGAAAACGAGAACGCGATGCCCTCGTTTCTCTTCCTCGCCACCGACTGCCGCCCTGCACCGCGGCGCGTCCCGTCCTGGCGGGGGTGGGCTCGGGTGGGGGCAGGCAGGAGGGCCGGCGGCGGGCGGCTGCTCGGCGACGTTCGATCGCCTGCGGTCGCTGCACGTGTGCCGGGGGTTCCCTGGCGGCGGGTCTGGGAGCGGAAGAGGGCCCGGCGGGATGTGCGGCGAGCGCGCCTCGCCTCCGCCTCACTGCGAGCCGGCGGCAGCGCTCGGCGCGGGCGAAGGGAGACGGCCGGGGGGTGTCCTGCCGTCGGGGGCCAGGATGGGAGAGTGGGAAGGCCCGGGCATTTGGCACGGGCCGTTGGCTCGGTGTTTTTGCTCGGCTGTCCTTACGGGCGCCGGGCAGTACGGAGACGGGGAGGGCCTCCCGGTCTTTGCCCCACATGGACATGGACGGTGCTGGGAAGGTTCGCTCCCGCCCGTGCCCTGTCCTGCGGCAGTGCCTGCGGACGGGGGGCCGTCTCCGGGTCCCTTCTCCGCGGCACCTGTGCCTCGCCCTCCTCCGGCACCACGGGCCGCAGGCACCTCAGAGGCCTCTGCTACCTTCCGTTCTCCCCGGGCTGGAGGGAGCAGAGCCGTCCCTCCTCATCCCTACAGCCGGAGCACGGCTGCCGCGGCGAGGGCTTCCCCGCCCGCCCGGTGTCTTAGGCAGCTCCGCGTCCTCTCACGCACACCGCGTCTCTCCGGCGGAGCCGTGCGCGGCCCGTGGCGGCATCGCTGCCCTTCGCACCGCTGCGGGCTCAGCGAGGCTTGGCACGGGGCCCTCTCGGGGCCGGAGCGGGAGGACCGGGCCGCTCTGAGCAAACCCCTCGAGGTGGGCGCTCCACACCCTCCCTGAGCCGCAGGGAGGCACTCCCCTGCAAAGCCGCCGGAGCCACAGACGCGTGGCCGCACTTCTGGGCAGCCCTTCCAAGGAGCGCGTTAGAAAAAGAGCGGGGCTGGCAGACGCTTGGCCGAAGTTGGGCAAATCCCTCCCTGGTGGGCGAGGGGAGAGTGAACCGCCCGCCACCACCCCACCGAGCGCGGGGCTGGGTGGGCGCCCGTTCTGGTCGCTGGCAGAGCCCGAGCGCCGAGCGCGGTGCGAGGCGAGAGGTGCGGGGCTGCTCCAAGGGACGAAGTCAATGCCCGCAGAAAGCTGGCGGCGCCACAGGTTGAGGTTGTTGCACAGAGGAACGGATCCAGTAATAGCTAGGGCTATAATACCCTTATTTGTGCTCCAGCATGTGACACAATCCTCAAAATGTAGTAGCTCCGAGTTACCACCTCTTTATTACTTTCACGAGCTAATAGGTGAGGTGACTGTTACCTTCTGTACTCGAAGGAGGCTCAGAGAAGCAGACAGGTAACTCCATGCTGCTCTGCTCGCTTTTATGATGTGAGGGGCAGGGAAGGGAGAGTTAAACCAAAAAACTAGAGAGCGACCGTGAAATCTGAGATAGTCAGTAGTGACCGGCTCGAATCTCGTGATTTTATTTTATTCTTATTATTTCTAACTGCTGTTGCAAATATGTCGGAGAATCGAGGACCTCGTCTAGCCGTGTGTGAGCTGCTTTGTTTTGTCCGAAGGGTGATCCGGTAACGGGCGCCTCCCGTTCCGTCACTCATTCGCAATGTCTCCTTAACGGTAGGGTTTTCAATGAAGTTTTTGTTGTCGCGCTTTAGGGAACGGAGCGCGGGACGGAGCCGCGGCGTTCGTTTTCCCCGCGCGGGCCGGGGAGGGCCGGGAGCGGAGCGCTCCCCTTGCAGCCGCCGCGACGGTGCCGGTAGAGGTACGGTGTCTCTGGGCTGAGACGCACCGGGCGCAGGGATGGATGCGAGACAAAGTATCTCGTGTACAAACCGCTCCGAATTGTTACAGGTAATTGTGAACGTGAAATCCCCGCCGCGCTGACGGAGAGCTGAGGTGTCGGGGCGACGGGCACTGTGCGGGGGCCCGGGCCGGAGATGCCCGCGGCCGCTCGGAGGCTGACCGGGGAAGGTCTCCGAGCCTCCCGCGGGGCAGCGAGGCTGAGCGCGGCGGCCGTGGGGCAGCGAGCGGAGCCCCATCCCCGCCGCGAACGCGTCGCTTCTGGGCTCGTTTCGCCGCGTGGTTTACGGCAACAGTCCTTTCCGAACACGAAATTCGTCACGGTCCCCACGCGAGCCCCGGGAGGGGAAAAGGGCCCGTGCGGTGTCTGTACCCCCGTTCCCCTCCTTGACAGGGCAGCGCGGGCCGGCCGGTTCGGGGCACGGCCGGGAGCAGCCCGTCACACGCGGGCACGGCGCCCGTCGGTTGCCGGAGCCGAAGCGAGGCTGTCTGCGCGGGGCCAGCGGGTAGGAGCGGGCTGCGGGCGGTGCGGTGCGATGCCGTACCGGGCAGCCGGGTCCCGAGGCCTTCGGGAGCCGGGGGCGGTCCTGCAGCCGGTGCCCCTTCGCAGAACGAGTGCCAGCCCTGGCTCCGAGAGCTCCACGCAAATATCTGCGCGCGAGGGAAGGCGATATCCTGAGGTCGCGGGAAAAGACCGCGGGCTGCTTGCAGGCGGCGAGGCGGCGGGGTTTGGCCTTTTCCTCCCCCGGGACCCCATATGCGAGTGCTCTGTAGAGCGCTGTTGTTGTCAGCACGGGGCTCGCGAAATCTCAAGTGCTTGAGCGCTGCCCGCCGGGCCGTTGTGGGGCTTTGGACACGGGATGGGGACGGACAAAAGCCCGCTTCGCGGCGTGACCCGAGAGGCATCGAACTGCCTCACGTTGCCGCACCTGTGCGGTATTTGCTCTCTCGTGGGACGTTTGCTGCTCTTGTGTATTAGGGTGCATTTCCTCGATGTGTTCGGCGATATTCCCAGCCTTTACAGTTCAATAAAACCTCTGTTGTTTGTCTTCACTCGAAATCCCGCGCCGTGGCTGCCCCCTTTCCTCGGGCAGTCCCGCAGCCCTCCGTTATTTGCACAGAGAACCATAAAGCCGCAGCCCCAGCCCTTCAGCCCGGGCCCCGGCAGCGGCAGGCTCTGGGGGCGGCGGCACCGCACGGCTCCCACAGCACCTCTTTGTGCCTCGCTGTGCGGGCAGGGAGCTGCGGGCTCCGAGCGCTCCGTGCCGTTTGTTTTACGCGAGCGGGCCGGGTGAGAGGAGCGGACCTGTTAGCACGGGTAGAAGTCGGGATTGAGAACGCAGAGCGCGGTGAGGGACGCGACGGGACTCGGGAGAGCTCCGTAGGCGACGGTTCCCGACGGGGCGGTTCCGGTCCCTCGAGCCGGAGCCGGCCGGGCAGAAGGGCTCACACGTCGCTAATTGACCCAAATCGTCGCAATTACAGCGACGCGTGCCGCGGGCGCAGGCTCTCAGTGCGGCGTACTGGAAAGCGGCCGCCGTCGCTCGCCCGCAACTCGGCGGCAGGCGGGGGCCGGTAGCGTTCGGGGCCGGGACGGTTCCGGTTCGTTCGTTCGTTCGTTCCCGGGGCTGGGCAGAGCGTCGCGCTCGCAACGGAGGCAGCGGAGCCCTCTCTTCGTTTCTGGCCAGGAGCGCTCTTTCCGAGAGCAGCCGCAGGGCACGGGTCCGCGCCGCCCGCTCCCGACGGTTTAAAATAGAGAAAGATTTATTTTGGAAAATCCGTACAAAACCGCAGAGCCACGCACGCCAGCGAGGGTGAGGGAGTTGCCGAGAGGGCATACGGCAGAGAGGCCCGAGTGCGGCCACGTGCGTGAGGGGCGAGCCGCCACCGGGTGCGGACAGAGGCTGGAGCCGGGAGGGGCCCCGTTGTGCGGCTGCCGGGAGAATTCCTTGACGCGGGAATTCCTCGACGAAGGACGCGCGGCCCCTTAGCCGCGTTACCAGCGTTAGTGTCTCCGAGGGGAAGGAAGAAAGCGAGGGCACGGTCTGCATAGACGTCACCCTTCCAAAATCACGGAGTTACAGCTCGGGCGCCTTAAAGCCGCTTTTGGTTCTGTTTTTCTTTTCTGATGGGCACGGCGTGAACCCGCAGTGCGAACGGAGCGGCGTCGGGAACCGCGTGGCCAAGCCTCGGGGCTCGCGGTCTGCCGCTGCGCTCGGAAAGCAGAGGCGTACGAACGGGAAGCGGCGATGCTGCCGCCGGCGGTCCGGGCCGGAGCCGGGGCTGTCCCCGCGGGATGCCCCGTCCCGAGTCCAAGCGAGCCTTCGCCTCGGCTTCACGGCCCGGCCCGGTGGTGGCGGAACCGCGGCGCGGCCCCGGTAGCAAGGCTCGGCGCGGGGCTGCCGCCGAGGAGCTGAGCGAGTCGAGCGAGAGCTCGGGGCCCGCACACCACCGCGGCGGGATAACTTCGACGGCGGCGGGGCGGAGCGGCGCGGAGCGACCGGGCCCTAGGCAGCGGGGCCCGGCGCAGCCCAGGAGGGGCGGCCGCTCCCGCAGCAGGTGCTACTCGCCCTGCCCGGCCGGGACGAGGGGCCGCGGACGGGAGGCAGCCGAGGGCGAGCGGCGCTGCGCCGGCGCCCGCGCGATGGCGCTGTGCGAAGGGGATGGGGATGGCGCCGAGCCGAGTCGAGCGGGGACGGCGGGACGCCCCAGCCCCGAGAAACGGCGCGGGGCTCGAGTCCCGGCTGCCGAGAGGGGAGCCAGGAGCCCTCGGGGGCCGCGGCCGCCCGGCCCCGCCCAGACTACCCGGGGCCGTCCCGCCGCCTCCCGCCGGCCGCCGCTGTCCGGGACCTCCGCGCTCAGAGGTAGCGCCCCGCGGGCCGGCCCTCCGAGCCCAGGCGCGCGGCGGCCGCGACGGTGCTGCGCCGAGCCGCCGTCAGGTCTGCGGCGTCCCCGAACGCCGCGATCTACAGGAGACGCCGGGAGGACGGGGGGACCCCGGGAGGGGAGAAAAGCGGGTTCGGCGGTCCCGCTGCGGGCAGCGCGGGCGACCGTCGGGAGAGCCGCGCGGGGCGAGCGTGGGCCAGGCCCGGCCCGGCCCGGCCGGCGGCAGCGCCGCCGGCCGCCTCTGGAGCGGTGGCCGATGGAAACCAAACCTTGCCGAGGTGGTGGTTCTGTTCGTTTGCTTTGTGCAGATTTTTTTTTTTTTTTTTTGGTCCGGAAACTTCGAAACGGGGAGCGCGGGGCTCGGGGAGCTCACACTGCTCACGGCGTGGTGCGGGAGGGCAGAAAGCTCCCGCGCTGCAGTTCGCATTGAAAGAGAAAAAGAGGTCACAGTTAGTAATCAAAACTCAATTTTTTCTTACAGCGAGATGTCATGGTTTTATCATCATGTAGTGGACCAATAACCAAAAATCATGAAACCATGACAAGAAATCAGGGATGGACAGGAAGAAATGACGGGAAATAATCGCCTTTTTTTTTTTTTTTTTTTTTTTTTTTTTTGGGGAAAAAAAATGGAAACTAAAAATAAAAACGGAGGGGAAAAAAAAAAAAAAACATTCGTAATTTAAAACAGAAAGAAAAAAAAATTATTGGGAAAAACTTATCAAAGAAAGCAAACACCTCGTATTTAAAATCTGTCTGAATTAACCTTAACGAAACGGTGGCTGCTGGCCGGGACACAGCGCTCGGTTCGGGTCCTCGCCAGTTCGTTCAATAACAAAACCCTTCGCTTCCGCGTCCGCGGTTTCAAACGCTTACGGCTGCCGGCCGCAAAGTTAAAGGAGCATTTCGCAGGGCCGCCCGGCGTGCAACCGCACGGACACACCGCGGACATGCCGGCACTGCGGGGCCCTGCGAGCAAAGCGGGCAAAAACCAAAGGCCGCGTAAAGGTGCAGAGGGTTCGTTGCAAATAAAGCGATTGCCACATATATATTTAAGTGTATTTAATCGTATGCATTATTCAAACGCCCTTCTGACTAGTTTAATAATTTAGAATCGATAGTTTTCCTAAAAACTTTATGAAATATTTACATGCTATAAAACATTAATGGATTGACGAGGCGGCGTGCTCTGATCGGAGCTGCGCTGAAGTCCCGGGATCCGCACGGCTCTGCTGCTGGGAGAGATCCCTGACGCCGTGTGAATGGAGATCCTCCGACGGCGGCGTTTATAAAATCGCTCATTAATGGGCTTGGATTGAGTCCTTCCATCCATCCACATCATCAGATATAATAATAGTAACGAATCAGACGGGGAGATCCTGGCTAAACCGTTGGCATTTTTTTTCCAGAAGTGTCGAAGTCCCAAATTCCCAATTCCGCCAACTTTGCGGCCATTGATCCGCGGGAGTTCGGAGTTGGACATCAAAGGTAAGAACGGAACATTCTGCGATTATTCGATACCCAGGGAAAAAGGGAACTTCCCCGCGCGTCCTACGGCACAGCGGTGTGAGATTTAAAAAAAAAAAAAAAGGGGGGGGGGGGGGGGGGG